CAATTGCGGTTAAGCGCCGCTCTCGTTGGGACGAAACTCCCCTTAAGTCTGGTGCTGGGGCCACGCCTGGCGCCACTCCGGGCGGGAGCACCCCATCTCAAGTAAGACAATCTTCCAACAAATTTAATTATCTTGTAACATAAATATCACTACTTCCATTCCTTTTAGACGCCTAGGGGGTTCACACCTGGAGGCCTAACGACTCCTACAATGACGCCTAGTGGAGTAATGGGTATGTCTCTTTTGACTCCGAGTGGAACAACACCTGTTGGCGCGAAAGCAATGGGCATGGTTACACCAGCATTGACGGGCGCTGCTGTTACGCTGCCGGGCTCTGGGGTTCCTATGACTCCCGAACAGTTGCAGGCCTACTCATGGCAGAAGGAAATTGATGATCGAAATCGACCACTCACAGATGAAGAACTCGATGAAATTCTCCCTCCTGGTAAGTATTTCGTCGCATTATTTTCCAAAGGCTGCAACTTCTTGCTTATAATTGTCTACTTAGATCTATTTGCTTGAATCTGAGCTTCGAGTGATTTCTTTTGATACGAAGGAACTAGTATTTTAAGTCACGAATTCAAACTTCTAAGGACTTGTGCTTTTATAGAGACATCCATCTAATTCAGAACACTTAATCACGCATTAATTACTGATATTTTTCCGCACACCGATGGCTTAACTTGTTAAATTTATCGTCATATTTTATCTTCTTTTGTGCCACATAATTATTCTATGGTTCACTTTAAACATCTATTTTCTGAATATTAACCTTCCACTAAGGCTACAAAATCATGCCTCCACCTGCTGGTTACGTGCCGTTAAGGACTCCTACTCGTCGCCTTGTTGCGACACCGACTCCCATGGTAGGCACCCCAATGGGGTTCCGCATCGCCACTCCAGATGTCGGTACTGTCGCCGGCCTTGGACAGTCTTCTCAGGGTGCAAATGCTGCCGCGATGGGCGATATGCAGCCTAAAGATGCCACTTTGCCTATGATGCGCCCAGATGATTTGCAATATTTTGATAAGCTCCTTCAGGTAACTTTATCTTTAAGTATAATTTTCAATTGTATGTCC